TTTAACTTTTCGTCGTAACGTTAATAATGATAATGAATTTATATCAGTGAATATTCCCAGAATTTTTTTTACTTATTAAATCTTCTATTTTATATATTGTATATTGTACAATAATAATATAGTAGTACTTAGTAATGAATGTTTAGTATTTTCCATCAATATGAATGTTTAGTATTTTCCATCAATGAAAGTAACTGTTTGTTTTATATTTCAATGTGCTGGAACAAGCGACTTCTGTTCAATATCAATTACAGTAATTTTGTAATATACAGTATACTCACAATACTAAAATATTTCTTCGTGTAAAGATTTGTTCAGTTGAAAATCTTCTAGAATTCATTTGAAAATAATGGCCCTCGATCACGTAGGTCAAGCTGTCAACTTTGTTGTTTTAATACAGTATAAAGATAAATCTTTCAAAATGTGAAAAAAAAAAATGCTCCAAAATATTTCAAAAAAGTCCTCGGCAACAAGAATGAACAAGATGCAACTGGGTTGTGAAAATTTGTGATTTCTTTTTTTTCTTCTCTCTAAATATAAAGACAGAAAAAATAGTGAAATGCATTTAATTACTGTATACTCTGTACAACAATTCAAGTGGGTCTTTTTTCTGTAAAAACTAAAGAGTTTTCGAGGAAAATAAATACCAAGTATATACAAATAGCGGATAATTTATTAAACTGATTTATTAAAAACCATTCTACCTACTAGTGTTTATTTTCTTTTTTTTTTTTTTTTTTAAAAAAAACATTAATTCAAATTTCAAATGAAATATATTGATCTCGTCTTTTTTTTAAATTAAAATATAAAATAGAATTTTCGATTAAATTATGAATAACTGTCTAATTTTTGGTTTCACATTGTGATCAAGCGAGTGGCTTGCGTGATATTTTGCAGAATTACACCGCATAAAATTATCACACTAGGCAGTTGATTGTTCATCGCCATGAAAAAATCTTACAGTTAGTCCTTTTATCTACATGTACATGATCTTGATTCCGCATATCCTTGTGCTACTGTAAGTCCCGCTTCTGTCTTAATTTGTCCCGCCCCGCGCGTGATTTTTTAAAACGCGCCTATCGATGAACCATTAGATTTATGTAGAATTAAAGTAATTTTACTATATTTGTGATTCTATCCCGAACAAAAACATTGAAAATATAAATAGTAAATCATCAACTAGAAGCACTGTGAACACTGAGCTCACTAAATGACCCCCCATACCATGCATTATAATGGCATAACTAAGTGTAAAACTAAAAAATATATTAGGAGGTGCAAAATGGCATGATTTATAATAAATAATAAGTGAAAGTACTTCATTAAATTTATTAAATGGTATAGGAGGAGTTGCGGGTTAGAGATGGGTATCCTTCAGTATTATAGCAAGAATGGCCTTGCCCTTGTTTTGTAATCATGGGAAATACGAAATACATGTATGTAACCGACCAAAAAGTAAAATAGGACCATAGGTGTACAATCTAATGGCACTTTGTAACAAAAAATCTGTAAGGTTTCATTAAAATTCATTCAGTGGTATTAGAGGAGTTGCGGATAAGCGGTGGGTATAACAGAAGGACGGACGGACATCCCGATCACTATATACCCCCCCCCCCTCCCGACTTTTCAAGCAGGGTATAATAATTATGCATGTAAATGCCTTGCTGTTTTCAATCATATAAATTTATTAATACAGAAATTTTCCGTAAGAGGGTAAAAATTAAATAGAAAATTTGATATTCATACAATCACTTAAATGCGACTAGTTTGCATTATTTCTTGACTGGCATAGTTTTGAAAATGACAGAATTTTACGAGGTGGCATGTAAAATATTTGTTTTGCGATGAAGTTCGTATAATCCTCACCTTTTCGTGTTTTTTTTTTTTTTTAAATATCACTGTTTTTGTTCTCTAATTATATATTCATCAGGGGAATTATTTTACCAATAAATTATAAAATAAAATCATTTCGCTTAATACATTATTCAATGCCAGGTTGGGCAATTACCTAACCAATAACTGATATTCCTATAATTTCATTAATAAAACGAGTAATAGATTGATAAAAGCACAGAAATCTGGTTTTTATCGTCAAAAAAATATTTAGCTGAGGATGGGAAATTTTTTCAGGATTTTTTTTTTGTTTTTGGACGATAAAATCTTCAGACTCCTGTGGTAATAAAACCGTACGGCGTTCATTGCTTTAATATTATATATAAGACACGGATTGTATATGTCTTGACTTACATGTACACGTATGCTATGTACGACTTGAATCTGCAGATGTTCAAAGCTAGAATTAATACTTTTAAACTTTTTTTTTTAAATATTCCTGGAAATAAATAGGTACACCTAAAACAGTAAAGATCTCTTTACATAATACGATATTCTGCTGCTCGAATAATTCGATTTTGCATTGAAGTTTCATTTCTACATCCACAAACTGGATTAAATATAAGATCTCTATCTCTCTCATCAAATTAAGACACGAATGTAAACTTGATCTATCTTTTTAATTTTGAACAATTTAATTTCAAAAGGTAGTTTTTGCTTGTTATCACTATAATATTAATCGGAAGAAACAACAAAGAGTGAAACATTTTTTTATTGAAAAAAAAAATTTAAAATTAAAGTCATTTCATATCAAAAGGAGTAGAACGCATGTAACAGATTTTTCAAATTAAAAAATTCGGTTCAGTGTTGCATCTATTTCTTATATTTTTAAAGAATCTAGTTTCCACAGTGTTAAAAAAAATCCTTCTATAAATGTTTTTCAACTACTTAGTAGAACGTTTGAACTGCTGATAAATAAGATTTTTAAAAAGTTTTTTTTTTTAATATTTAATTCGTGAGCAAATTTCTATGAAGATGATCAGTTAAAATGAATGCCCCTCTCTGGTACCCCTTTAAAAAGTATTTCGATTATCAGAGTTATCTCTCCTGTTTTTATTTATAGTCCTGAAAACAATTTCGCGTCTGTCATTTGCTCATTATTTTGCAAGACTCGGGAAACTTATGAGAATACTTTTAATCTCTGTTGTAAGAAATATGTTCAGTTTCAAATTTGTTTTAGCATTAAAACACTTTACAACAAAAAAATATGGAAGATGCACCGATGATTCCATGTTTACATAGATTGATGTTTACAAATGTTGAGAATGCTGGAGCGGATCTCGTACAGGAAAACAATTTTCTTTCCAGAATTTTGATTAAATGCCCGTGCCTAACACCTAACTTAAATTTTTGTCTACACTAGTATAGAAAAATGTCCATTTATTCATCCGTATTATTTAGAAAAACACTTTGTCTAATCTTCAGTATATACATAGGCTATAGGAAAAGAATAGATCAGAGACGTACGTATATATAGCAAGATGTAGTAAAGAAACTGGCCTCAAATAAAATTCTAAATAGGCCTACATTTAAATTAATACCAGTGGACTAGAAGATCTAAAGTGAAAAATCAGAATTAAATATAAAATAAATGAAATTAAATTATTATATTAGTGTAACAATGTTCAAAAACCACGATAAAGTCTAGACGTGTCAAAACGTAAAACACGTGTCAAAAAAAAATCTGCGACGACGCCCACCGTCTGCAACGTCACGTCTTTATGACGTTATTTCTCTGTTCTAGATAAATTGCCATAAGGACCTTTTGTCGTGGTGGCAATCACATGTATGTGGTAATTATAATAATTGTGCGGTTTTGATCGTTAAGAAAAGACCAAATACCATGTTAAAATAAGTTATTATAACAAAATATTAGATAAATATTTTGTACCAGCATAGCTAATAAAAGGACTTAAAAACTCCTATTTTCCCAGAAGATGAAATTACCAGTAAAATAGGAGAAAATTGGAAAATTAAGGAGTTTTGAATACTCTCCCAATTGACTGCGAAATACATTTTTAACACTTAAAAAATAAAATGATTTTAAATTTTGTTATCAATTCTAATTCAAAAAAGGTCCAGACATGCCATATTAAATAGATGGGCATATTAAGCAGTTTTCATTTAATGCGTGAGTAATCTTTACAAAGAAATCGTGTCTAGTATATATATTATTAATTCTAATTTCTATACAAATAATAGACCTTGTGTAGCAGTACTCATTGTTACTGACAATAAATACAAACACAACATTTCTTGATTATTTAACTTGAGAAAATGAAATAAATAATAACGAAAAAAATAATAATGAAAGATATACACTACAATTATATAATAAGTAATTGAATATTAAATAGGGTTGCTGGTTCTGTTAAACAAATACTATAAGGAAGATGTAGTTATGTACAAAAACAATTATTTGTCTACCCACTGTTAATCTTATTTTATTGTCATATTATTGTGTTTGGAACACCTCAGTGCCTCTCAGTATGTCCTCAGTAGCCTCAGTAAAAACCTCAGTATCACACAGTATCAGCTCAGTGCCCCCAGAAGCACCTCAGTGCCCCTCAGTACTTCACTAGTAGCAACAGTGCTAACCTCAGTGCTCCTCAGTAGCACAACAGAATGCACAGTGAAAACCTCAGTGCTACTCAGGACTTCCTCAGTTTCTCAGTAGTAGCCTCAGTACCCCTCAGGGTTTTCTCAGTACAACTCAGTACTTCCTCAGGGTTTTGTTGGATTCTCAGGGTTTTTTTAATACAGTAGTGTTTCTATCATGTACATATCACACTCCCTCAAAAAAAGTAAAGTTTCCTTAAAGAATACATGTATGTGCACGGGCAGGAGATGAAATTATTGTTGGTAGATGCGCTAGCTGCAGATCTGTAGCGTAATAGTTTTATGTATTAGTTATTGGTCAAAGGCAAATACATAAACCCATAACTCTACAGATCTGCAGCTAGTACATGTGTACAGTGTGGTATTGTTGCATGTTAAGGAGCATAAATATTAGCAAGGGTAGGTACCTAATTGGATTATTTTCATTTATCAAGAACCAATGGTGTGTGTGTTGGGGGGGGGGGGGGGCTTTTTCTTTTAAGACTCACCTCTCAAGGTTAAGTATGATCTTCGTTTAAATCCATTTCCTTTATCAAGTGATGTTTGCTTCTCAAGATTCACAGTAACAGATGAATGTCCCTGCAAATTCTAAAATCAGATATCAAGACTACATATGCATTTTATATGTCTACCTCTGCGCATGGCCGGATTGCACTCAGACGATTACTAACTATAGGAAACAATCCTGCATTTCATAAATGAAAAGCATTTTAGATCTCTAATGTATTCAACATTCTTTTTTAAAAGATTTTATGCAAAGAACTGTATAAATACCTCCTATTTCCTTGCTAGATATGGTGTTTCTTGTCAGTATGTGCGTGATTCTGCATCTTCTGCGTTCAAATGGCATGTTATGACATAATCAACTGCGTCATTTTCTATCATAACGAATTAAACACTGGTGTTTAATTTGCAATTTCTATATAAATACCATGTGTTTAATTTATAAATATATATGGTTAAGAAATGAACACTCTTGTTAAACACCGGTGATTAAAATATTGATACAATTATAGAAAATATCATAATATTTGTTTCTATTTCCTCTTTAACAGTTTCTGAAAATTTTGAAATTTTGGCACAAAATTACTACCAATTAATGTTAATTGTGAATGCGTTTGGTATGATCTAAAGTCAACATATTTCCTTCCTATTCGTATTTTTTTCTGTGTCGATAAATATCTAATATTATGTCCGGAATTACTTCGTAAATTAAGACATTGTAAAAATGACAAATTCATACAACAAATACTAAGAAGCAACACCTAATTTATTTTTTGATTTGATGCATATGAACATTACGTGTTTAAGACGGATGATTAAACACCCTACTTATTGAACACCAGTTTAAACATCAGTGTTTATATATAAAACGCTTGTGTTTTGTATTTAAACCAACTATGTTTAATTTTAAAACACGACTGTTTAAAAATTAAACACAAGTTAAACATCATTTTTTACAGTGTTGATATGGAAGTATCCTCAGGTAGAGTGTATTCAAGTTTGTTCAGATTATAAAACTCTTGATTAGGAGGGTCTAAAATCGGTGGTAAAAATTTTATGCATTAAAAAAAAAAATCTAAAATGGACAAAAATATGCATATGGATATATATTTATATGAAAAATAATAAAAGCAAGATGTTTTTGTTAAACACTGATACCCTGGCTTGCATGGTAGTCAAGCTTAAAAAAGTTGTGTTACCCAGAGAAAGATCTTGTCACCATGAATACACAAGTGAAAAATGTCGCCTAACGCCAATCTTATCTATCAACCAAGCTCTATGAAAAAAGAGATGTCTAACTTTTCAATCGTCAACCTCACTTATGCAGCAATATACCTTCATCATCTGCATACTATGTTTATTCAATACGCAAGAGCATTCTCTACGTATGAACAATTTCTAAAAGATACGTTATTGACAGGCAAGTTGATGAAACAAGAATATCAGTAGTCTCATTAACGTTTAAAGTCATCATTTCGTAAGTTCTTTGGTCGACGCAATGATCTTGTCAGCAAATACAATTGATCATTAAATCAAATGCTGACTGACGTATTCCATACTATTAGACCATTATTTACGCATTTAAAATTGTTGATGGATTTTTTCCGTTATTTTCCGATCATGACAAGGACCAAAGGACAACACGGCGAGTGTGACCGTTTGGTAAGGGATGCTCACTTCTCCATGGCATCTGATCCCACCTACATGTAATGTTTTAAAGGTCTGTGTTTGCTCTGCACCAAAGTATTGTTTGATCACATGGAATTTTGAGCTTTTATACTGTTCGTTATTTTGATCTTAAATTAATTCAAATATTATGTTCAAGATTAAAAATTGGTAGGGTTTTTATTTTTTGGAAAAGTGGGATTTTTAGCTCTACTGGTCAGAGACCAGAAGCGCTTACATGACAATTGTATTCCATAGTCAGGTGTCTGTAGTCCTTCTTTCTGCATGTTTGTCTGTCTGTAAACAATTTTTCAAAATGCTACTCCTCCTACAGTTTTGGTCTGATTTCAATATAACTTGGTACACTACACAACTAGACAACACTAAGATACATAATATTTACCATGGTTACTAAAAATAGAAATTTCTGTAAAATTCCTTTAAAATGCTACTCCGACTACAGTTTTGGTCTGATTTCAAACTTGGTACATAAAACTGTACATAAGTACACCACACTAAGATACTTTAACTAGTAAATCGGTTTTTGATTTCGCTGAACGGTGTTTCCATGGTTTCTAAAAATAGAAATTTCTGTGAAATGCCTTTAGAATGCTACTCCTACTACAGCTTTGATCTGATTTCAATAAAACTTTGTACACACGTAGACTTCACTAAGATACAACTGTACATATACCTTATATATTAATTCTTGATTTCGGTGATCGGTGTTACCATGGTTACTCAATATAGAAAATTCTGTGAAATTCCTTTAAAACACTTCTCTTCCTACTGTTTTGGTTTGATTAAATATAATTTGGCACACAAGCAAACTCTATTAAGATACATTAACTACTTTAACAACTTTTTATTTGGATGAATGGTGTTGCCATTGCAACAACAACAAAAATAAATTTCTTTGAATTCTCTTTATAATGCTATTCATCCAACAGTTTGGGTCTGGTTTTAACTTAACAAGACACAGGAGTTGCCATGGTTACTAAAATTAGAAATATCTTTAAGATTTCTTGTAAAGTCATTTCCTCCTACAATTTCATTTTGATATATAACTTGGCACACGAGTAGACTACACTGAGGCACATAATTTGATGAATTGGTTTTTAATTTTGATTAATGGTTTTGCCATGGTTTCTTAAAATAGAAATTCATTTAAAACATTAATCCTGCGACAGTTTCAGTTTTATTGCAAATTTTGTTACAGAATTAGACTGATCTATAATGTTGTGGTACGAAACAACTAAGGACGATCTAATAATAAATGAGTTTGCAACCTGATACTGGCTTAGTGATCCCTCGTGGTTCCCGAGCCCCTGTATTGGCCTGTAGCTGAGCTCGCAGACTTATAGGTCACTACAACTGGTGTCAGAAGTGACCGATTCTACGTCCAGTTGAAAAATATACATATCCTTTTATTGATTTTTCTTGTATTTTGATTGGCGTAGGGGAATAGTATCGAGGAAACTCGGATATTCCCGCGTTTTGTCAAACTTGGTTTCTCACAGTATAGGAGAAATTAATTTATCAAGTGTGACAGTATTACTACGCTACTATTTTTAATTTTTTTTTAATTCTATCTCATTCTCCATTTAGCGTCGGTGTTGATTTTTTAATTTGTAAACTTGGGTACGGAAACCCATAGCTGTCACAATTCGAAATTTTATTTTCAGTTACAATCAAATTTTTGCGATATCATTCGATTGCGATAGACATTTTATTTTGGAGTTTTTGTTTGAATTTCTAATTTCATAAGTCATATTATTTTTGTATTCAACCCTTCAATCTTCATATAATCATATATTGCATATTATTTTGTTCATGTCATTGTCTGGACCAAAAATACAAGCTTTTCTCAGCAAGCCACCAACAACACCTTAAGGGTCACTGTGTCACACACCAA